TTATCTTCACTGGTATCCAAAAACCCCAAAACACCAGCTCCCCAAAACAGAGGCCAAAGGACAAGGACTATTCTCGGCATAATCATATCAGCAACTGGAGCTTGGCAAGTGATCCTTATTTAAGGAGTAACAAAACATTGGATAAAATTGTCACTACAGTAATTTGGAGATGGCATGTACCTAGGTTTGTGTTAATGAACTTATTTATAGCCCTAAGAGAAGAGTCTGGTAGACAGAAAATTAGCACTGTGTGATAATTGCTGTTGGTTGCGTTGAACAAAATATTTAAAGAAAGAACAACCACTACCCAAGGGACTAGCTGTTTCAAACTTAAAACAATACTTAGGCTCCCACAATTCTATGGTCTGGACACAAGCTGACAAAACTGGTCAGCCATGGACAAAGGCCCTCTTCTCCAAAGCCAACTTCAGATGTGGCCAATAAAAATGGAAGGACCTCTTGTAGGACAAAGTCAAGGAGAAAAGAAAACAATCCCCTAAGGCATCTGCCTGAATGCAAACTGCTAATGATTTACAAAAATGAGATAAGCCCAGAATTTGGTTGTAAATGTTTAGAAGCTTTTATGACAATTTCCCAGTCATTTTGTATCTGTTGAACCTAATAATTTTTAAATTGGATACGATTTTTTATATGTTTTTTCATTTCATTTTTCTCATATTTTTATATTTAAGAAAACTTCAAGTAAACTGGAATTCAAAAAAAAACCAAACTGGTCATAACAGAACCCAGATTGAGAACCCATCGCACTGTTCGAAAACCCAGAGAATAGAACTAGAGCCCTAGCAACATCTGCCCAGTAAGATTTCAAGATTGCTACAGTCTGTAGAGTCTGGTGTTGTTTTCCATTCTTCCCCTTCTCAAATGGTAACACTTATTATCTGTCCCAATTCTATCCTATGGATTCAACCAGGAGTGACAGACAGATAACTCAGTATGTCCAGACTGGCAGAGATTACCACTACTGCACATTACTCAGAGGTCCTGGACTTTGAACTTGACATAGTGACTGGATGGAATTTTGTGGTTATCTCTATTGAGAAGGGCTACGGATGAACTATATGTAGGCAGGAGAATATTTGTTGACAAAAAGGATGGACTGTCCACATGTCTCCAGTTCTCTACATACATTAAAATTGTACTTGCCCACTTCTCTGAATCACGTATGGCTATGACTTCATTTGGCCAGTGAAATATGCAAAGTGACAAATGTAATCTCTGGAAGCTTTCAAGAGTCAAGATGTATGTGTCATGTACCATGACATACTTTTCCTCTGCTGTGATGATTGATAACACCCAAAATGAGGCCTTCTCTGTCCATCCAAGTCTCAGAAAGAAGACATGAGGCAAAGCTACCAGCTGACCCACAGTGCACATAAACTAAACATTGTTAATCAAGTTTTGGGGTTGTTATTACAGTATAACCCAGTCTAGCCTTATTGGTTTTAGTTAACTTTTAAGAGAAGAATGACTTGAACATCAATACATATCCTAGACTGTAAAGCAGTAAATGTCAAAGAATTCACAGGACATGACCCAATTTCACTTTGGAGAGATTCTAAAAGGGAAGATGACACTTTAAAATGTAGCTGACTGTTACCACAACAGGTGCCAACACCAGAAGAGAAAGAAGTCATAGGCAAATGTTTGCCAATACTACACACATACTGATTGCTTCAGCTGAACAGGGCCATCAGCTCATCTACCTGCCTAAGGAATACATGAAGGCATGCCCCCTCTTGACCCCCTTCCCTCACTAGCAGAAGAATCAGTGTTTTTCTCTTGAAGTACTTCCTCCTCATTACCCTCTGGGGGGGCCCTCTCAGTATTTGGGTTCTGAACAAAATAAACTTTTGTTGCATTTTATTTGCAAGCTTTAGCCCTTTTTGTACTGTCGCCTCATCAATCCATTCTCACAGTGTGTCACCCTTTTGTATTTGTCCTTGGTTAAATGTCACACACTTTTTCCCAACTTTTAAATGACTTGTGCATACATACTTGTTCAGATTTTAGGGATTAGGCAAAAATTACATTTTGTATACCAACTCAGATTAGTGCTGACAGATTATTCTGATGAATTGAGGGCCCCTTCTAGGCCCAAAGGGTAAGAGTCTGCATGTAGCTGGGAGGCGTATGTGCGTAGTATTGACAACTGGGATTGGGTCCAGTATATAACACTTGGCAAACAGTTCTACTTTTAAAAGTTTGAAAACCATTGTGCTAGAGTAATCTGTTCTCCTAGAACAAAAATATTCAGCCACTGTGTATTTGGACACATTCCAAATTTTAGAAATCTAGCACTAAGCTTTTCCAAAAGACCCTGGGCTAGTTTCCCCCTTACAGACATACATTTCCCTTATGATTAATCATAAAACTAATGGTTTTCCCTCTCAAGAAAAATAAATAAATAACTGTAAACATTAAACAAATTATACCAAGACCTGTGGGCATCATTCTCTGGGAAAAGGCACATTTCATATTTTGCAACAAATGAGGCATACATAATGCTTATAAAGTTCTTGTAAGAACATTCTGTGAAAACTTAGCTTACTTTAGTAATTTAATGGCATTACTAAAGAAAAAAACCTACTCATTGAACCAGTCTCAAATAGAATGCTGATTAGATTTCATCACAGTTTATAATTTAGGATCCAAAGGAGGCAATAAGCAGTCAACATCTCTTCACTTTAGAGTCTCTTCAAGGTGGTGGGAGAAAAATCATTTATCTATAACCCAATACACCCAAAAAATAGTAGAGAGAAAAGATTCGGCTATCTGAACTTGAAAAAAAGTCTCATGAGCAAAGACATGAGTATGGGTACTACCCAGATGTTCACTATCACTTAGAGAGGGAAAATAGGAGAAAAAGAGAAACCACTTCATAGTGAAAAATCTATTGATGACCTGAAACTTGCAAATCATTGGTTATGAAAGATACAAAAATAAGCCAGACCAGAGAACAGGAAGTTACCCTGATTTTGAAAAGGGCCTAAAATCACGTATCTCTGAGGTCATGCCTAATTTATGGCTTAAGCACATACCGGCAGTTAACTCACTTGCTGCTATGAGCACTCTGTTCCCTTTCCAACAGAACTTGGTTCTGCCTTAACCACATTCTCTAAGAATCCATGAAGTAAATCTTTCAATTTCAGTAAGAGATCTCCTAAGAGATCCTTCTCACTGATGTTGGATTGGGCCTGTTAAACTTCTTAGAGCATGTTGTACTCTAGGCTACACTGCACAGCCTGCTCAGCTACACGTTTCACCTGAGGGAAATCCACGTAACAGTGTCAGCACACCCATAAAGAATCCAAAACACTCGGCATTTAGCGCCCAGGTGAACCACTGTCCCAGATTCTGGAGTACAAAGTAAACTTTAAAGTTCCCTGAGGATCACTTATTTAGAAAAGAAGGTAGCAACGATATTCCTGCGCAAAGCATTATGTCAAAGGATGGTGAGTTAGGAAAGACTGAGTCTTGGTTGCACCGGTAAATGCAGGTGTCTTTCACAGCTGCACTGAGTTTGTATGCTCATTCTAAGGAGAACACAAATTATCTTCCCATCACTCTGCACTACTTTGCTCATTTTAATTTATTACTAAAAAAAAAAAGGAAAAAACATATGTCGGCCAATATACATAGAGATACCAATTTATTCCTCACTTCTTTAAAACAACAGTAACATAGCATTTGTGTTGGATCTCTCTGAGCTCTACGAAGAGTGCCACCACTTATCACTTACAGGACCAAGGCTTGAAGGAGCACAAACTAATGTACTTCTTCCTCTCAAGACAGTCATTAAAGACTTACCGTTCCTTTTTCTTCCTTTTTTCCTCAACTTACGCCCAGAGCATCTCCCCAAATTCTAAGTTTCAATGACCACATTTTCCCTATTCACTAACCTCTCGGACATCCATCTCATCCTAATACCACTATTCCTTAAAGGGCATTTCCCCAGGGAGGGAAGAGTTTTACTTCGGTTCATCCTTCTGATTCCAAACCCTCATTCCACAAAGGTCTCATGTTTTTCTCGACACTCACGCTGAGGAAAAAAAAAAAGTAGAAAGCAAAACGTCCCTCCCCTTAGAGGCACACAGGTGAGATCCCCTACTTAGCCAAAGTCTAGAGCTCTAGTTCAAGGCTGCGGCCCTCGCTGGAGATGATACCCTGGTAGGAATTCCCATCCCTGCAGGCAGAAACCACAGCTCCTCGCCTGAAGGACCCGCGCTGCCTCCTACCTGGCAGAAAACAGCGGGCAGGACCTGCGGTCATAGACTTGAGCAGTCCCAAACGGTGCGCGGCCGACGGTTCCCGCCTGGTGAGGGAGAAACAGAAGGTGGGGCCCTGCCCTGTACGCTTTGCAGCGCGGACCGCTTCGCGTACCTGCGAGGGTGCAAGTTCCCCTAACCTCCACGCCTGCAGTCACCACCACTCGACAGCGTCAGCCTGCTGGGCAAAAAACAACCCCCAAGGCTCCTCCTTCTCCTCGTGCTCCGTACGTGCGGACCTGCCAACCAATGGGAAGATCAGGGGGCGGAACGAGAGCCCGCAGACCAGGTTACAGGAGACTGAGTCCTCCCGCCGGCGCGAGAGGGCTGTGCGATTGCTGAGCCAATCGGTAGCGTGAGTGGGAGTAAAGGGGCGGGAGAAAGCTGGGAAAGAGAACACCCAGTCAGATCTTGGGAACCTAGAACGACGGGTCCTGCGGCCGGTGGCCTTCCGAGCGCGGCGCCCAGGGGGCGTGCCCTCCTGAGCCAATCGACGCGAGCCCACGGTGCGGAGCGAGCGCCTCAAATGCTCGGGTTTCTCAGCTGATTGTCTCCAACCGAGAGTTGTTTTCTGCAGCTACCGAACCGAGCCGCAGCAGGAGGAGCCGAGACCCCCGGGGGGAGGGCTGGGAAAGGAGGCGGGGTCCCGGCAGCCGCGGCTTCTCCGCGCGGGGCTCCGGGTCTTGTCACGGCGCTTCCTGGGGTTGGAGGTTGGGGTGGGTGGGGGGTGAGGGGGAAAGCCTTCTTCCCCTCGACGGCGGCTCGGAGTTCGGCCCCTTCCTTCGCGCGCTCTCTCGCCCGCCCCTCAGCCCCCTGATGCGGGTGTCCGGGCCGGGTCCCGCGGCGGGCCGCGAGCCCTCGACGCCCGGCGGCGGAGGCGCCGTCGCTGCTGCCTCAGGCGCCGCGGTGCCAGGCTCGGTGCAGTTGGCGCTGAGCATCCTGCACGCCCTCCTCTACGCCGCGCTCTTCGCCTTTGCCTACCTGCAGCTGTGGCGGCTGCTCCTGTACCGCGAGCGCCGGCTGAGTTACCAGAGCCTCTGCCTCTTCCTCTGCCTCCTGTGGGCAGCGCTCAGGACCACCCTCTTCTCCGCCGCCTTCTCGCTCAGCGGCTCCCTGCCCCTGCTCCGGCCGCCAACTCACCTACACTTCTTCCCCCACTGGCTGCTCTACTGCTTCCCCTCCTGTCTCCAGTTCTCCACGCTCTGTCTCCTCAACCTCTACCTGGCGGAGGTAAGGCGGAGGACCGGCTTTCGCGGCCGGGCGGGTGCGGGGGCTGCGGCGATCCCCTCCGGCGGTGGACCGGGGCGGGGGGTGCGGGCAGTGCGAGGCGGACCCGAGAGCAGCCTGGGGAAACGGAGGCCCTCTTGGAGTGTGCTCCGGTGTTCGCAACCTAAACTTAAGTCGCTGATTGCCTCGGTTACTGACGGGCTTGGGGGGTGAGAGTGTGTGTTCTGACAACTTCAAACAGCAGGACGACCCTTTGTTCGGTTTCTGGCCACCGATGGTAAGGGTTGGCACCGAAGGAGCGGCGTCTCGGGAAGGAGTGGCCCCGGTAGCTCTGCCGAAGCCGGACTGTGTTGAGAGGTTGGGCGCTGAGGTAGCAGCCGCTCTGCCGAGGCTGGACGGCTGCCAGCCATTACGTCACCAGGCAGAGCTGTTCCTCCGCTATTGTTGCTGCGTTTCTTTTATTAGAAGCTGATATTCCCTTCTGCATCTCCTTTCCTGTGGCTCTATAAGCCTCACACAAATTCCGTTCGATAGTTCCCCAGCAGGGTTAATGATCAATAACCAATGTCGAGGGTCAGTGTAAAGACCTCCATAAAGCCATTCACGTTTGCCCCAGTTGCTTCATGCTTTAGCTATTTATTCTACCTCTTACAGCCTAGTATTTTTTTTTCTGAGCTAATTAAGAGAGAAAATACTAGCTTAACTTGTGCCTATTGCAGAAACAAATCACCAAACTGTTTTTGCAATAACTTAATAGCTGGAACCTTTCACACCCCCTTTCTTTTTTATGGGGAAGTGCTGGTTGGATTGCATTGTTCTGCAGCTTAGGTATTTGACCCATTTCGAACAGGTTTGGGAATGTAAGGTTGTCAGTCATGTGTGTTAGCTAGTGGTATTTAAACCACAGAATTCTGAGAATTGCCCAAAAAACTCTCCCTCCTCCCTCCTCCCTCCTCCCCGCAAGAAAAAAAAAAAGCTTGAGGGGAGGAAACAAGGTGACATCATATGCTTAATACTGACTAATATAGAACAATATTGGTCTATGCAGCTAATCCTCTCAAAGGCTTTTGGAGGTGATGAGAATTAACATTCCTCTGAACAAAAGTAAAAACATTTGAGGCAGATTGTTTATATTTCCTGTGTAAACCAACTCTTTTCACCCATAATAGATAGGAAATAGAATGCATAATTTTGAAATCAGTCATAACTGCAGCTTTTTTACACTAAAAGCAGTTGAAAATAAGTAACAAAACTAATTTAATTATTTTCCTTCCCCATCCGTTGAAAGTCCAATCAATACAATGACAAAAAACCAAATAGTTACAAAGCAGAAATAAAAAGCATGGGTAATCATCAATCATGCCATAGTCATGTCACTTACTTGATGTTCTGATCCTCTAGTTGTTGGTTCAGCTGTTAAAATATTTCTGTCCTTTACAGTTAAAGTGATACATTGTATTCTTCCTGACACCATTTCTAATAGACTACCAGTGACTTCTCATCACTGAAGCTTCAGATATAATTTATCACCTGAAAATTACATAGATACATATCACCTGAAAGTGACTAGCAGTCCTTATGCCATGAGCATCACATAATTTGTTTTTCCCCTATATAGTTTGGCTTATAAAATCATATTAATGATTTCACTATAAAATAGTTGGTGGGCATTTCATAAAGTAGCTAAACACTACTTTTTTTGAAATATGACATATACCATAAAGTGCATAAATCTTAAGTGTGCAGTTAGGTGAAATTTCACATAACTCTCACCCTGAGATAAACACAAAGTAGCTAAACCTTATCACAATAGAAGAAAAAGCATGTATATTTAAGCTCAAAATTCTTAAAGTATGTTTCTACAACATACATACACAACATCTAGATTGGGTTTTCAGAATATTGATTGCTAATATTCCAAGCTAGTGAAGAATTTAAATGTCTAAAAGCCTTTCTGTTAAATGAATCTCTTGTTTGTGTGATATACTTTTTCAAAAGCAATAAAACTTTCTTAGCCTAGAAAATGTAATTTGGAAAGAAGCCTGACTAAAGCTTTTTACTTTCATAGCATCTGAGAAAAGTGTAGGTTGTCTATGCTTGTCTTTTTATAATCAAATTAACAATTTTAAGATATACAACTGTACTTAAAAGAACAGATTTTCAACCTGTTTAAAATAAGGTATCTTAACCAGAAATAATTTCCCTGTTCATTACTGGAAAAATCCAGAAGAAGCCGTATTTAAAAGAATATTTGAATTCAAATGTTTTAATCAGTTCCCAGTAACTAGAAGTATATTTTTCCACTGATCATTCTGAATTAATGCTTTCCCAGTGAGTTCTTGCTATTATGGCAAAGTGGTAGGGAAAGTCTATGTGATGACAAATACAAAACTTAACTGACAATTGACTTGTTTTTAACAGAAAGGCCCTATATGTGTTTTGAATAGGTGTGCATTTTGATTATCAAGTCACTGTCTTCACTGTCTGTCATATTAAATACTAGTGTCAACCTCTTTAAAACATTTAGCTGTATCCATTTCTGACTAATTAAAAACATTCTAACTTTAAGTACTTAGTTACCAAGAACCCTGGAGCAGTATAAAAATAAAGTCAGTACAACAACCATTACTACTCTGAACACATTTTGGTGGTCATCTAGAACTCATTACGTTTTCAGTTAAGACTGCCTAAACCATTCTTCTTTTGTTGGCTTGAATAGAATTGAGATTAGGGCAAGTATCCCTTTCTGGAATAGACTTTTCAATTTATCATACTTAGCCTCCTGGAAGCAGATAGCTGGAAAAAAAATTGTACACTGATCTAAAAACACCTATTGAACTTTCTTTTGGCATGATCAATAGAACATGTACTTTACCAGAGAAAGTTTTATACTTTTATAGTTTTACCAGAGAAGACTTCTGTCTTTAAACAGATTATCTGACAAAAGAATGTGATCCACCATTGGAACGAGTAAAAGATCCTAAAATGAGACTTGATAGTACACAATGTTTGGCATATTGTGATACGTGCCAAAAATAAATGAGTTCATCTTCAAAGCCCATATTGACATTTTTTTCTTGAGTGCTAGCTGCTTAATCTGGATAAAATAGATTGATTTAATCACAACACCCACACAACTAGGAAAATTACATTCAGAATCTTAACTTTCACATTCATGAATGCTATCATTATTCCTGGCAATGGGTGCATTCTTCCAGATATTGATGGTTATATCAAAAAACATGCAGTTCAACTTATAGGTACTTTGGTTTTGTTACAATATTCTGTGATTTCTCACCAAAATACTTTCATCATCTAAAATGGAAACTCATTAGGAATAAAATTTTATCATATTTTTTTATCTCATAGCAACTAGTACAATGGTGAATGTATTATTGAATGACAGTCTTGAAAAGCCCAAAATCTAGAAAATATTTAGCCATCTAAAATTTGGGCGTTAATTTTGATGAACATATGAGGCAGATTATTTATTTGTATACTTTCTGAGGGCTTTATATTTTCTGCCTAAAAGATTGCCTATGGTATGAATGCTAAAATCCTCTTAGATTATCTTGGTTTAATTAGATAAAAGTTAATTCTGATTATTACAGGTAAAATCTTACTAATGAAACCACTTTAATATATTAGAGAGTTTTGCTTAGCAAAACTTTTTATATCATGGTAAATGACCCATAGGATTTAGAGCTCTGCCAATTTGGTAACAAATTCTATTAAATTGAAAAGTCTGTAAAACTAAGTCTAATGTTATGAGTCAGTTACTATTTACTGGAAATAGTGGTTTCATTTGGATTTTTATCTGAAGCCATAATTATAAACTTTTTCTGAATCTACTATACTTGCTATATCCATTAACTTGATTCGAATTTTCCTGAGATAACCTGTGAGGCAAGATTTGACATACAAATCATTTTACATGATTTAATATTTTCATAGCACTTCATAACAATTGTCTTTATAACCCCCATGAAATAGGTAGATTTGTTCAAGTTTATATGACTAATATGTATCAGATATGAGATTACTATTACTGTATAGCCCAGGGGCTATAAAGTCTTGTCAATGATCTCTCGTGAACTTTCCTGGATATCATCAACTCTTTCTTTATATTTAATGCTTCACAATTTTAAATTGCTTCCCGACTTTTCATCATTTCAAACTTTTTTCTGTTCTTTAGCAAACTTTCTTCCCTTTCATACTCAGTATATGACCCTCACCTCCTAGTTTATACAGGTAGAAACCAGGGCCATCTGGCTGAACAAAGATTCAGAGAAATGTCTTAAAATGCTGCAGAGTATTTAATCTTTTTCAGTGAATGATTGAGCTGATAATTGAGGAAATTCATCAGAGGCAAGAAACTGCAAAGAAATAAGTGAATGCAGATTAGTTAGGTACACACGTTTGTCTTGGGTTTAGGTATCATTATTAAGTGCTTCCTGCTAGCCTAGAGCCTGGATTTGAACTTTATGTTTTGGTGGTGTGGTGAGGTGACATTAGAGGCAATAATACCTTGTGGTGAGGTCTAATCAGAGCCCTCATTCCCTCTAGCTTAATGTCAGAATTCTCAAAGTGTACAGCTTCAGCAAATTAACTAGGGGAAAAATAAGCAAGTCCTCAGAGGTTGATTAAGGACTTTCTGCCTGTCTCTGCCTTGGTTCTGGGTGAAGAGGGCACAAATTGGTGAAAAAAAGTCTTCCCTGAGAATGCATAATCTCATTCTCACATAGGTTTGAAGGCTGAATTCACACCTTCTGTGACTTTAGAGGGAAAAAAAAAGAAAAAAAACTCAACCTGAAAATGTAGTTTGGTAGTAATCTCAAACTCCTAGGAGCAAATGCAGGTCATCTGTTGAGGGGTATACTTTAAACCCAGAATCCTCACAGATGAAATTCCAATAAACATGAGCTCAAAATGAGAAATCACACAAAGATGGAAGATGTCAGAATCATCATAGTATAAAATATTCATTTACATGAATTAAGAAA